TTATCTGAGAAATTATTTCTGATTTCATTTTTTCCAGATCCTCTTTTGTTTCCAGTTCAGGGAGTCCAGGTGGTTGAGTATCAGAGTGTTTCATCTCGTTTTCCTTTGGGGTTGCTGTAGGTGATCTGGAAGTCTGGTTTTGAGACTTGTTTACGTGTCGTTTCCATGGGGGTTGTGTGGTGGGGTGGGGTGGGGTGGTGGGGTGTGTATGTGTTGCTGGTGCCTGTGCCACTTACCTCCTCTGAGCTGGGAGCAGTAGTACAGTGGCCCAGAAACCTCCTCTGTGCTGGAGTGGTCCCATTTAGTAATATTAATGTAGGGAAATGATATTCAGCTCTTAACATCCTTTCCATCCCACTTCCCTAAGCATTTCTTGTAGAGCTTGCAATCTACAAGATGTTAAGTAGAAAAGGCTTTTTCTCAGCCTTCTTATTCTTGGTTCTTATTCTTGATGGGAATATAAATTGCAAAGATACTGAGATTGCTTACTAATGATGGTTGAAGAATGGGTTTTCTTGACTGGAGTCAAAGAAATACTGGTGTTGGGGCAGTCTGTAGATTGCAAGCAGCCTTTCAGACTCTGTTAGTTTTCAATCCCTTGAGAAGGGCAACCAGGAGCTGAAGTGAGCCTTTGTTCAGGGTAAAGGGAAAAGTCTATTGTCAATTTTCTAGCAGGATTTTTTTTGAAATGTGGTCTCACTGTGTTGCTCAGGCAGGTCTCAAAACTTATGGGCTCAAGTGATCCTCCCACCTCAGCATTCCTAAGTCCTGGGACTACAGGCATGCACCAGCATGGCTGACTCCCAGCACCCGCTTAACATAACTTTACTGAGTGTGATAGTTGAGAGTATTCTTATAGTTGTATCTGGTTGGATTAAAAATGAGAAAAGTGACATGGGGGTGTAGCTCAGTGGTAAAGTGTGCGCTTACCATTGTGAGGCTGTGGGCTTAATACCAGCACCAGGAGGAAAAAATAAGAGAGGGAACAGTAGAAATCTGGAGACATGAGAAGGCTGCCATTTTTTGTGAGATCCTGAGAATCATCTTTAGCGTTCAGATACAAAGGGAAGATCTTGAAGGCACTCTGAGAGCTATCACCTGTATTTGGCCAGATTTGGAGCATGGCAGTTCCCAGTTGACTCAGCTGAAGCTGGGACAGCAGGTGGTGGTGGCATATTCCTTAACATCTGGGAAGCTGGGAAGGAGGAAGGGAGAGAGTGGGGCTGATGTGCTCCAGGATGGTGACTGAGGGGCCAGGCAGGTCAACAGATTTTCTCAGGAAGATAGGAAATTATAAATATGGGAAGGGAATTATTAAACTGAAGGTGGTAATGAGGGCCAGGAAGTTGTTCTCCAGGACTGGTGGGCAGAAAGGCACAGTGTCTACAATGTCCAAGGCAAGGTCCAGGTGGACCCACCAGGTGCATTCCTTGTGGATGCGTCTGGTGGGCGTTCCTTTTCAGCCTGCACCCTGGCAAAATACACATTTTCAGTGGGGTATTTCTTCAGTGGGTGGTGGTTAAAGAGATGTTCACTTTGAAGTGATTTGCTGAAATGTATGGATTCTTTTTCCTATACATAATGGAATTGAAAAATGGTAATACATAAAAGCATTGGAGGGAGCCCTGGCAATTTGGGGCATGCGCTTGGTCAGCACATGGGTGGGCTGCATGCTCCATTTTCTTTTGCTCTAATTTAATTGCTGTAATTTATTTTAATTGGCTGCTGACTGTGTGTTTCACAAGGCTCTGTAGGAGTGGGAAGCTGAGTGACCCAAGACACAGAGGTGGTCTTATTGTCTTCAGGTTCCTCTGCTTTATTCATTCCAGTGGTCGTGGAGTCAGACTTCGTGAAGTATGAGGGCAAGTTTGAAAACCACGTGAGTGGGACCATTGAGACCGTTCTGGGCAAGGTCAAGCTGAACGTGGGAGGCAAAGGCCTGGTGGAGAGCCAGTCTTCCTTTGGGACCCTGAGGAAGCAGGAGGTGGACTTGCAGCAGCTCATCAGAGACTCTGTGGAGAGGTAATACAAATTCTGTGTGGCATTTTGGGTTTTGACACATCTCATGTTTAAAGGTCATTCATTTGGACCTTTTTTTAAAAGGGTAGCAGATGAAACCTTTGCCAGCCAACAAATGTTTATTGAATGCCAGTTGTGCTGAACACATTCTGTATTCTAGAATTCCCTGACCGTTCATAGCCTCAGGGTGGAGACCTGGGAAGCACTTTGAAAGGATGTTATTTTAGGAAAATTCCTGCTGCCTTCAGTCCTATGAATTGTAAAATGCCAACTGTGGAAAGGCTCTGTCCTTCATTTTTGAATTCTGATATCAGAAGCAGGAAAGTCGAAACCTTTCTCTGGCTGTTCATACTTTCCTGACAAGGGAGAGAGCAAGTGAGGGACTTCAAAGGAAGAGATATTTTCCAACTTTGACGTCTTAAAGAGAATCCTACACTAATTCATTTGACTTTCAGTAAATACATTTTATTCCAGGCTAGCTCCTCATTATTTTTACCTTATGTTTATTCAACATTCAATAAGTAATTTTATTGAGTACATACCATGCATCATGTGCTAAGGGTGCTACAGGGAACACAATGCCATAATTTCTGTCCTACATTCTAGTGGGGAAAGACACAAAATATGTAACTAAATAATATATGCTGTAGGTTGATGGGGTCAGTGGAACCGAGAAAAAAATGGGAGGGGGGCTAGGATGTTCTAGGAGAGGGGACTATGATTTTACACAGCATGGCCAGAGAAGGCATTCTGAGAAGTTGGCATTAGAGCCCAAATGGAGGCGAGAATGAACGTGGAGCACTGGGCAAGCAGGATGGGCCTGGTGATCAGGGTGGCTGGAGCCGCATAAGCCAGTGGAGGATGGGGAGGCAGCAGGAAAACAAGTCTTGCAGGACCTCAAAGACCATTGGAGACTTTCACTCTTACGGGAGTGAGATGCCCTGAGAGGATTCTGAGCAGGAAAGTGACATTTTGGAAGGATCATTCTGCCCACTGAGTTGAGAAGAAACTGGATGGACAGAAGCTAGGAGCCCAGCTGAGAAGTTACTGCAATGATCTAATTGAGATGGTATTTCACTTTATACAGTACCATGTGTGAATTTTCATGTGTAATTTTATTACCCTTTTTTCCTTTTAAAATAGAAGGTTCATCCAAATGAATTAAGAGAAAAGTCACTTGTATTTAAGTATGGGTGACTTATCTTCTCTTTTGCAATATTTTAAAAATATATAAAATATAAACTATGTGCTCATTAAACAAACATTAAAAATTGATAAAATACCAAAAGATACTTGTCAAGAATTTGGTGGGTGGATTTTGTAAGGACTGAGCAACTATGGTCTTCAAAATTCTTATACCTGTCCAGTAACTGCCCAGCTTTAGTGGCATTGAAAGACCACAGTCATGTATTTTTGGCCTCCTGGTTCCTTCTAGGACTCTGTGACTCCATGGAGTTAGGAGGCCACCGGGAGTTCCCCTTCTGGCAGGGGAACTTTAAACTTTCTTTGGAGGCACCAGGTGGAAAGCACAGTCACCCATATCTCTGGCTGTCATGATCTTGATTTTCCTTTATTGCTTTTCTTTGCTAGAGAAGCATTTTCTTTACTACGGTGCTAGCAAACATTAGGAAAGTCTTTGCTTATCTGATTTAAAATGTAACTGTGAAATCTGGTGACACTTTCTACTGGGGAAGGAGAACAGAAAGGTGGGGAAGTCTGAGGCCTCTTCTTTGCTCCCTTAGTCTTTGCATAGCCCCCTTTAGCTATTTTTTTTTTAAGTCATGTTATTTCTATTTCAAGAACCACAGTTGGCCAGTGTGCTGTAATCATATTTCCTGATAGAGGTTTTTAAAACACTCGTCATGATTCAGGTGTAGAACCTCTTGCCAACTTGTAAGCATATGGGGAGGGGCCCATGAGGGGATTGGGAGAGAAAGAAGCTACTGCCAGCAGTTATATATGGGCAAAGGCAAGGAACGTGTGTGGAACACCTACTATGTGCCAGGTAATTTATGTGCATCGTCTTGTTTCCTCTGCACAGCCATCTTCTACATGTGAGAGAGCTAAGGCTCAGGAAGGCAACATAACTTGCTTCTAGGCACAGAGCTCAGATTGGGTGCTGGAGCTGGGATTCCACCCTAGATCTGTCTCCAAATCTCCTGTTCATTCCTCTAAATCATGCTTGAAGTGACTGTGAAGAAAGGAAATTGGCAGGGGAATCATAGTTAAAATGATAGCACAGAATGTAAAGGTGGAGGTGTGCATCTGAGTCCCTTGTGACGAGGTCGGTGGTGAAGAGTGGAATCCACCCTGTCTTGAGCAGGCACATGGGAATGGCAAGGCCTGCTTGCCTGGCGGTGCCAGACTCAGGGCTGACATCACCTAGGAAAACTCTTCAGGAATCCTGTTAATTGCAGAGGTGAGGAGGGAAGCGATGTCTGGGAAGTGGCCCAGGATCATGCTAAAGAATAAATGTTATGAGCTGGGTGTGTAGCTCAGTGGGAGAACATCTGTTCAGAATGCACTCAAGGCTCAGGGTTCAATCCCTAGCTCAAAAAAAGGAGCATAGAAATGCCCAGGGTTCCTTATCACAGAACCTTCTCTTGTTGTGTTGCTAAGAGCTAAAGGTGAGCTGTAGGAGAAGGGAGGAAAGGAATGACTTTCTTGATCCTGGGATGGGCATCAGTAAAGCTAGCATTCTTCTTACTTTCTGCTCCTGGAGTAATGAATTCTTATCCATCATCTGCCTATCTTTGGACTTCTGTAACATCATCAGGATTGATAAGGTGCTGTGGATACACATGCGACCTTGGGAGTGGTGATTAGTGATGTCCATGTACTCTGTGTTCCATGAAGAGTTGACTTGCAGTCAGTCATTTTTATTTCAGGTCATTTAGATAAGTTGTCATCTGTATACAAGTCATTTAAGCCCTCAAAAAAGCTGAGTATTAGGGTTGGGTGTGTAGTTCAGTGGTAAAGCACTTACATGCATGAGGTCCTAGGTTTGATTCTTTTTTTTTT